TACTGTGTGCACTTGTGTGATGAACTTCCTATTTGCTACCTCATTTCCCATCAAAGCTTCACTATCAGGTGTGAATCTCATTTTAAAAATGAGAAGGCCAAGGCCCAGGGAGCTTGTGTAATTTGCCCAACACTGCAGTTAGTAGGCAGTGAAGCCAACATTCTTCACTGTGGAAGACCCCGGCATTACCTCCCACACCATGGGTCCCCTCAGTCCTGCGAGAATTGAGAATGCCTGTTTGTAAAAGTTATTAATGAGAAGAAAAGATGACGATTCTGCTGATGTATTTTTTTTTCAGGTTCAGTCATTTTTAGCCTCCCTTGATGGAGAGAAGCTGGAAATCTTTAAAAAAGACCTAATTTCTATTAAAGACATCTTTGCAGCCAAAGAATTTGAGAATGAAGAGAATCAAGGACAAGGTAAAAGCAAGTAACAAATTAAATTGCAGGATAAACTGTTGATACAATCCCTGTGAAATGGCAGTTAATAGCCACAGTGCTTTGAACAGGGTGGCATTATTTCATGCGAGTGCTCCTCCTCCAGCCTCCGAAATACCCAGGGCAGGTGCTCTTGTTAGGAGCCTGTCACGCTGACTTACATTCTTTCGCTGGATGGGAACTCCTGTCCAGGTGTCTGTTTCTCTGATGCCAAGCATCATCCCCAGTACACCACAGGCACACAATAAATGCTTGGGGTAGATGGAAAAAACAAAACACGATGCACTAAAAGGCCCGATAACTAGAATTTATGCTCCAATTTCTAATTTTTATCCACATGTGGAAATAGTTAAATGTGATTAATGTTGATGGTGGACGAGTCTTTAAATGGATTTCTTTTCATATTTTTCTTACTCCTTTTGATTAATATGTGTAAGAGTTGTTGTTGTTGTGTGCTATTGAGTTGATTTTGACTTATAGTGACCATAAAGGACAGAGTAGAACTGCTGCATAGGTTTTCCAGTGCTATGAATCTCTATGGAAGCAGACTGCCACCTTATTCTCCTGCAGAGCAGTTGGGCTCAAACCACTAGCCTTTGGATTAGCAGCTGAGCACTTAACCATTGTACTGCCAGAGCTCCTTATATCAAAAAAAACAAACTCGCTGCCATCAAGTCGATTTCGACTCATAGCGACCCCTCCTTGGGTTTCTGAGGCAGTACTACTACAGAAGTAGATTGCCCAGTCTTCCTTCTGTGGAGTGACTGGGGGTTTGAACTGCCAGCCTTCTGGTTAGCAGTCAAATGCCTTAGGCACTACACCACCAGAGGTATATTTATAGGTGTCTTATTCTAACCAGAAGGCTGGTGGTTCAAACCCACCAGCCACTCCTCGGAAGGAAGGTTGGGCGATCTACTTCCATAGTGATACCGTCTCGGAAACCCAAGGAGGCATTGTTGTGAGTCAGATCCGACTCTAGGGCAGTGAGTTTGGTTTGGTTTGGTTTTATTCTTGTCAGCAGCTGTCAACCTGGCCCCGACTCATGGCAACGCTATGCATAATAGTAACACAAAGCACCATCCCTGTTACTGGTTACGGGATGGATGGTTATGAGCCACAGGGTTTTCAGTGACTGATTTTAGGAAGTACTGCCAGGTCTCTTTTCCTAAGTGGACGTCAGTCTGGAGCTGTGCTGAAAACTGTGGAGCATCACTGCTGCACACACGCCTCCACTGACAGAAGGGCGGTGCCTGTACATGAAGTGCATCGGATGGGAATCAAACCAGCTGTCCCACAGGGAAGATGCGAATTTACCCCTGCCACCATAAGTGTCGTACACTCCACCAGTTCTCCGCCCAGTTCTGACAAAACCTGTACCATTTTCCTCACAGTACACCACCGTGTGATGCAGCAGGTTGGCAGTCACAAAAGTGACTCAGGTACAACTTCTCAGTAATAATCCAGCCCAGCAATGACTCGACCCTGAGGAGACCAGAACCTATTTTGTGAGAAGCAGGTCTTCCTTGAGAGGAGAAAATTTTTCTCAAAGTTGGACATGCTTAATGACGACTTTAGGTTGTCCATTTGGGAGCAGAATATAGGAAAGCATTGGCAGTCATGGTGGTGCAACAGGTAAGTGCTCAGCTGCTAGTCAAAAGATTGGTGAGACTTACCCAGTGGCTCTGCAGGAGAGAGACCTGGCAATCTGCTCTATAAAGATTACAGTGAGGAAACCCTTATGGGCAATTCTACTCTGTCACAGGGGTTCACTGTGAGTCAAAATGAGTCAGCAGCAGCTAAGAACAACAATGTGTACATGGAAGATATCTTACTGTTACAAAATCCAAGCCCACAGCCACAGTCATTTCATGTGGGTCATGCTGAAAGGTCGAGCTACTGTGAACAAGGGTGACTTCTTCATCTGAATGGTCCCATTTGAAGCATTTTCACCACATAGTTGCTATATGGTGGCCTTGGGCTAGTTATATACAGGTAGTCCCTGGTTTACATATTTGAATCTCACTTAGGACTGTCTGGGTTTTTTTTTTTTTGTACTACATGCAGTATCGCAGTGCATAATTTCCTGATATTATCATTCTCAGATTTGATGTCTCACAGATGTTCATATGTAATGTTTCCAACCCCCAGAGACAATAAAGATCAGATTTATAAAGATTCTGGTAATAAAAGGCAATAATTAATGAAAACTAAAAAAAAAAAAAAGGTATTTGACTTCCATCATAACAACAGGGTTGTTGAACCCCCTCATATGTCAGGGACTACCTGTATCCTTTCTAAAATTAGCATCTTCATCTGTGAAATAGAGACAATAATGAATATTCCCAAGAGCAATTGTAAGGATCAAATTAGATAATATATGTAAAAATATTTATTACAGTGCCTGGCACATGGAACTCCTCAAAAAAAAAAAGAAAAAAATTAGCCAATATTACCATTATTAAAAATACTAACACAATGCCTGGAAAGGAGTAAACATGCAATCAGTTGTCACTCTTATTTATGATTATATTTGTAGTTATCACCCACCATGCAGGGTAATGA